TGTTCATTTTCCGGTTTGACAATGTCGCCGCATTCTTTGGATATGACTTGTTCAATGCATCATATCATGGTAAGTAGAATTTGTTCAACGCTTCGGAGCGAGAGTTATTTAGACATTTGAATGGAAAAGCAGTCTTTTTGCTTCGGGAGGTGTGAATATCGATTGCTCCGTTGTGTGAACACCACTAATTGATACAGAATTTTTTCCTCTTTAATTTAAAATCTACCATTTTTCTTTTTCAGGTTATGAAAAACACCCTAATGTACAGTGTATCACAAAGATTCGAAGTGAAATATTACAAAATAATATGTTAAATATGGCGAACAGTACATATTTGAAATTGGTTTTTTACACCAGTGATATTGTAATTATGGAAATGTGGCTTCCTATTTGTTCACTATATATAGAGTTTTAGAAAAGAAGACAATAGGTCGTGCATAAAATCATTATAAGCATAAATTGGGTGCTATTCCGCATCTCACCTTCCGCTATTGGGGATTTTTCTTAATGAATGACATATAGGTATGTCTTTCTCTTTGGATACATTTTTTTGGCTTTTAATCGGTAAATATTTAATACGTAATGATCAGGGCTAACCAAAATATTTATTTAATAACATAAAAAAACCATCGATACATTTAATAGTAACAATATTCTGGGGAAATTGGATGAAATGGTGTAAATTCAACTACATTTCAAATTAAATCAAAATCGTCCCACTCACAGAAAAATCACTTTCAAAGTGCAGCACAATTGCCAGGATGCATATTCGTTATTACGGAGAGGTGTTCGTGATTGGGGTACTAAATGTGTAGTAAAATGTACAGTACAGCATATTGAAAACTTCTAATGAAAATTATTAAAACTGTTGAATTATTTGCGAAATGTCTCAATAAAAACATTTACATAAATATTTTGATTAGCCCCAATTGATAATGAACTCCACAGTGCGTATTGCAAAAACACTAAATGGCATACAATGTAGAATGTTGTCATTTTTGAAAGATTTCAACATATATTAGAATATATTTTAAGCTAAAGATTTCTCTTAATGTTTGATGATTTGAATTGGTTGTCATTCTCATGCACATTTACCGCACGGTGAAGTTGATAAAATAACAATTACCAAATTCCTAACATTTCATATTATGTCAATGTCACATTTCTTACAAATATCCTTATTCTATAGACAATTAGTCGTTTTTTAAATAGTCATATGAAATATAACATTTTGAATAAAAGTACCGAGAATAATGTAATAAATAGCATTGAGCAAAATGCATTTGGTCAATATTTCTAACAGAACCATTTGATGCAAACGATTCGTACTATTGAACTTTCTAGAAAATATATTAATCCTGTCGTACCTGTTTGATGGATCATGGTATACTCCGTCATTATATCCTCCTTGACCACTAGACATGCCTGTGTTCATTAAATTCATAGACTGGTCATAATATGGTACATTCGGGTGTTGTTGTCCCATCCCAGATTGATGTTGTTGGGGTGCATTACGATCCTGGCGATAGTAATTACCTCGTCCTCTGCCTCTATACGATCCACGACCACGGCTAATCCAAATATAAATTTACAATGTTAAATTAACGAACAGCTCATTGACAGAATGTCGTATCAACTCTTACCCATGATAGAAGTTTGGTGACCTATCTCGATAATCGTCTCTATCCCGATGGTCTCTTCGATTACCATCCCGATAACGGTCTCGATTTCTAAAAACAAAACAAATTTCAAATGCCATTACGATTGTCTAGCTAAAAAACCCCTCGTCTTTGGTCTTGTGGACCTTTTGGTCATATCTTTTCGAGAATTTTTCTGAAAAATAAATGCTATATTTACCGGCTCATCGAGTAAGACGCAGATCGACTACGTGACCTACGATCTTGTGGACTTCTTGAGTGTTTCCTTGGTGGTGATCGTGAATGCCTCCGGGGTGGCGTATTTGACCTGGATCTACAATTAAATGTTTACAGTTTTATATTGTTTAATTTTATAAAAATAACCAAATTTATTGTACCTTGAATAAGAACGAGACTGACGTGAGTGGTATGAACCAGATCTACGTCGTCGTCTTTCGACAGGGCTGCGTCTCCTGTCCGGAGATCGACCGCGTTTGTCGCTCCGGCGATCTCTATTCCTTGATGATGAACGCTCACCCTTTCCTGAAAATTTGACAGTTTATCAACATTTGTAAAGTGAAATATTGTAACTTTTAACTGAAATCTTGAATGATTTTAACCGAGAAAGTAGCCATCTCACTCTAACGTTGATGCGATTTTATTAGCGCCAGTAAATTTGTTATATGCAATCATTTGTAATTACAATTGATGCAATGTTGAAAATTTTGAACTGTCATAAATGAAAAATCGTTTGGATTGGAAACTACCTGTTGATCGACCACGGTCTCGGCTATCTGAAGAATTATGCCTTGCCCTATCCATTGGTGATCGTCTTCGTTCATTTGAACGGGATCTACGCCTTGGTGGTGAATCGATAACCGCTCTTCTTTCTTTTTTCCGCCTTTCTTTTTCTTTCATGATTTGTTCGAAAGCGGCAAGAGGATCTTCAATTATGCCGGTTCCAATTTTACTTGCAACTCCTTGAAAAGCGGTTGCCACAATATTTGACTCTGTGGAATTACATAAGAAAAATAAATGCATTTTGTTGCATGCCAATGGGTTAAATACACATACCTTGATGCATCATTGGGCGATGATGCATTTGTGGTGGCGCTTGGTGTTGCATTGGCGGATATCCACGATGCATTTGCGGAGCCTGTTGATGTGGCATTGGTCCGTAGCGATGATGCATTTGGCCCATTTGTTGATGTGAATGCATGTCTAAAACAGTTACAAATACTTAGACCTTATACAATACTATCAAATTATTCACTCTAAACTCACCAGCTTCATTTGGTTTCATGTCCTTCTGGTGCATTCCAGGCATTGAGTGTCCATATCGATTTGGATGATTCCACCATGGGTTTGGACCGCCAGCCGATGAATTTTGGTGGAAATGATTCGGTGGCATTTGATTTGGTGGAGCTTGTCTATTAGAAAATGAAAAACCATTATTAAAAGTACAATTTCGATTGATGGAAATGAATCTACCTATGCGGCATCATTTGTGGATGCTGTTGCTGGTGTGGCTGCATTCCATATCTCATATTCATATTCATTTCTGAATTATGTTTGTTCATCATCTCATGGCCAGCACCACTACTACCATATGATTCTTTGTCTTCATACTAAAAATAATAAATGGCATCAAATTAATTTCATATCACACCGATGGATGTATTAAGGAGCAGTTTTATTTTGAGATATAAAAAATCAATCAATCTAGTCAAACTAACCTGGTGAGGCTGGGGCTGATTTGATGGTGCTTCTACCTCATTTACATTTGATGAACGGTTGTATCTTCCGTTCATACTTTGGCGATCGCGGTAATCGTGGTAGTTATGCGTATGAGTTTGCGGTTTCGGCACAGTTACAATGATATTATCTTCGAAATCGGATTCATCATGGGGGCTTTCAGCACGGGATGCTCCACTCTCACGGGGCGCTTCCTCATTCTCCGATTCTTTTGGTTCATCTGCATCGGGTGGATTCGATTTTTCTTCATCTGGGGTTGCAGCAATTGGTTCCTCTCTACTTGCTGTTATCGTGTGAGGTGGTGTCTTTGCAGCTTTTTCTTCACTTTGAGGTGGAGTGGGCTCCTCAACAACTGGAACAGTTTCTAAACACACAAGGATAATAAGATGCCGTAGTTTTATTCTGGTTTACAACAGATATGAAATAGCCAAGGATACTTACTTTTTGGTTGTCGGGGTTTATTATAGCCGGTTTCATTTTTGAAAGAGTTGACCGAGTTCCGTAGAAAACGATTTGGAATCAATGAACCTGGCGATGATCCTTTTTCATTACAATCTGGACATTCATTGTCCTCCGATTCTAGTAGAGCGGTACGGACACCTGACAAAAACAGAATTTAGTTTATTAGTTCGAACAAAATCGTTTGAAATATTCGCCGATCGGTCCAGCCTTGTTTAAAGTAGATGTACGAAAAAAATTGTTATGGTGTAAAACGACTTTCCGCTTTTTCTGTGCGAAAAATTGCCAAAGAGAAAAGTCTCTGTCCTTGCGTAGCCAACGCATATAATATCAATCAAACATGTTTGTCAAGCCAACATTTTCACACAGAACTTTATTTTACGCATGAACAAGGCAGATACCGTATGATTTTACTTTACTTACATTCATCACAGAATGAACTACCACAGCATGGAATCATAACAGCATCTGTGAATAAATCCTTACAAATGCTACAAATCAAGTCATCGGGAATTTCCTGTTTCTTTTCGATGGGCGGTAAATTAACTGGCTCTGTTGCTGGAGAGTTTCCGGCTACAATTAAAATTGAATGAAAATAATATCGATTTTCCTCTTTATTAAAACAAAATTTTTTGCAATAAACTGATAAATACCATCTATAAAGGATCGGGGGATTCCAGTGCTGCGCTTGACCTCCGCATGGCTTGAATCGTGATGAGCATTGAGTGGACAATTTTTGATCCAATGTCCCATTTTCTGGCATTTGTAGCATCTGTAAGTGCTGGGAACCTCACCAATTTGTGCTGATCCGCGAACTTTTTGATAGCTACATGTATTACAACAAATCAATATGCAAATAAAATGATGAATACAATCGAAAATACAAGGGAAGTATGAATGGATCGTAAATATTTTTGTTTTATTTTCATATGTCAAAGCGAATAGTTGGAAGTATCATCATTCCCATCTAGGCAATGGCACCAACAATACATCAGAAGATGGGCTCGAATGTACCGAAACAAGACTAATGAATAACAAAAAAAAAACAACTAAACTAAACGTGACTAAAACAAATTGAACTAGCACAACTCAAAAGATTATTAACAAAAAATCAACTGAACAATTTGGTTGTGTTTATTTGTTTTACCTGAACCTAAAATTACATACGGTGGAGGCATGAAAGAAATGTAAATAGTACATGAGTTTACGGTTTGACATATATCGTATGGATGCACAAGCTTAGCGTTCTTATTGTACTTACTTGCGTGGATCGTAGTCCATTGTGCTTTGTTTCATCATAGCGGTGATTTTTTCCTCTTCCGTGCCATTCATGAGTGTTAAATCGATGTTACCAGCTTGAGAATCGGCATTTTTTCGCTCACGTGCTGATGCCGATGCGGCCGCTTTTTCAGCCGTTGGATCCCATGATTTTTTCACTGATCGCGTCGGCAGTGGGACGCGTGCTATTATTAATGATGTGTTTTTTGGAATCAGACAGGAGTCTTCACCGTATTCTGTTGTGTTGATGTGAAACATTAAGGTAAATGGTGAATCATTTGATGGCTAACCAATATATTTTTAATTGGAACAATTGAGTGAAAAACAACAACAACAATATACCTTCTTTAGTTTGGGCATTTGTAATTTGCAGATCAAAATCCTGTGTTTTACCCAATTTCTTTTTATTTATTATTTCCTTTTTCAAATCAGCCACAGAAATATGTAACCCATCGAAACTGATTGTATCGAAATCCAAAGCACTTTTGAACTTATAATGCACCGACATTATACACGATGTCTTCGATGTTTGCAAAATGCAAAATATAGTGTATATGGAATAAGGAGATTTAATTCCGCATTTAAAGGTGGAATTTGCAGAAGTCCAGTTTAATTCGGCAAATATCATCCATTGAAACGTTCAAGCTACGCACTTAATAAACGAAAAGTAGAAGAAAGAATATTGGCATCATTGAACTTGTGTGAGAAAACTCAGATACTACTTTTTATAACTTTTTTTTTGTTTTCTTATGGAGAAGTTACGTAAAATTATTTTTATCGTTTGCACCTAATTACAATTCAATAATTGTGAAGAAATATTTGATTAAAAATGTTTAATCATTTGAACATTTGATAAAGTTTGCTTAAGTAAAATGCACAATTGCGTTTACACGGAACGTCCATAAAAAGATATCGCTATGTTGATTGGGTTATAAAATTGTGTTAGATAGTTGAAAACACAACAACAGCACCAGGATTTCACTATTATATATAATGAAATATGTTTACAGCCTATTCAGTTGACACCGTTCACTATATATATATATATATATATATTTTTTCATATTCAATTATTTGCAATTGTGTGCAAAGTTGTGTGTCGTCGGCCATCTGAAACTGGCTTTCATTGATTTGAAACAAACAGAAACCTCATTTCACATAAGATTTACTTACAAATATTGAATTTAGGCGACCAATTTTTATCACGAATTCGTTTTATTACTTGTTTTTCCGATGAGAGAATCACCATTAAAATAATCAACAAAATATTAGTTTTGATTCTGTATCTTTGTGTTTTCTTTTATCGTACAAGAGAGAGAGTGAGAGTGAGTGCGAGTGGGCTCATACAACAGAGACTTTCGAACGATTGTAAATGGCTAACGCCATTATGCGGCTTTACGTCGTGTATTTTGCGCACTCAATCTCATTCCCATGAAGTTGGTTGCAGTTTGACGTTGGTACTTTTTGGGTGATGTTCGCTCGAAAGTAATTGAGTTTTATATATATGGGAGTATTTCACAAAAAATATTCACTGTGTTTTTACTATCAAAATCCTGCTTCATTTGCTTGTGAAAAATTGTGTATAGCTAAAACAAAATATTATCTGTAGATCGATAGATACACGAATACTGGAGTGCAGTTGTGTGGCATTATTGGTAGAGAGATTATGTTGACACTTTGCGTTTGTTTGTGAAACATGACATCTGAATTAATAAAAGGTGGTGTATAAACTAAATAAAAAATTCTGCTCAAATTTCAGTGTTAATTGATTCCATTGTACTTATTTTGTTTTAGATGTCAATGAGATTTATTCACGGATTTTCCACCATAGGCAATTTCTAAGTGGTGAAATCAACTATTTTTTGAGAGAATTTGAGGTAAAAATTGTATCCAAATTTATGTCATGTGACATTTTAACATACTGTATATTCGTATTTGGTTTATAGCAAAAACGAAACGATAAAGAAATAGAAAACTTATTTTCATCGGTACAAAACACAATCGAGGCAAAAGATTCAACCGTGGAAAAGTGTTGCATTTTGAGTGAAACTAATTTGCCGCTATTGAAAATTAAACTGGATGAAACGTTGACTTTGTGCGAAAGCGTTCTGACCCGGGGAGTTAATAAAGAAGCAGTAAGAATCCTTCTTTCGATGGATTGATTTGGCAGTAAAAAAATCCAAATAAAAATACGAAATCTGTTTTTCTCTTATCTCATTTTCGCAGGAAAAACGTCGTGAAGATAATCGGCTTGCGCGCACGGAGACTTGGAATCGTTTCGTTGATGATATGAAACACAAGCAATCTTATGTAGAGAATACGTTTGAAGAGAAGGAAGAAGAACTGCGCGAATTTTATTCCGATTTAGAGCGAAAACTACATATTCATAAATAAAATACAGACAATCCGATAAAGATGGTGAAAGTGTCTATCAAAGATCAATCGATTGGTATAAAGCCATCTGAGAAATTGATAGATTTCATAAAATCATCGTTGAATGATGTGTCCATTGATTTGCCGGAAAATTTGCTAAAGGTTTATGAAGCATTTACCCAGGATATTCAAAAAAGAAATATTTATAAGCAGCCAATTCCAACCGAAGCTCTGACCGAAGAAGAGAGGAAACTTTTGATTGCCCTGTCGGACGATACATTCCAAAATACAACCGATTTACAGAAGTGCCTCGAATCGCTGTCCGTGTATACTTGTCATGATGACGAAAATAATAGCAATTCGGAAATTGAAGAAATAGTATCGACTGGTGGTGAACGAATCAGTAAGAATAAGGCTCGTCAAATACGTGCAAAACAACGAGAAAAAGAGCTATCAAAACTTACACTCAATCTATCGGATCTAAAGTGGCTTCATCAGTATCTGTTGGGTAAGCGTAAGACCGACAATTCGATCAGTTACTTACACGAGCTAATTGAAGGATCACAATTAGTATTGCCATCAAATGAATACACCGAACGAAACCCAGAACTAGAAGCGCGATGTCAACGTTTGAAACGTGAACAAGATGATCTAATATATCGTTTAATGACGAAAAATGTGGACTGCTCAAGATCACATGAACCGGAGGAGACAATTTCTTACCAAGGTAAAAGCTTTGAATGTTTGGTGACACACCACACTACGTTATTGTAAATATATTTTTCACTCATCGATATTTTCTTCTGTATTTCCTCTAGTCAAACAAATTAACCGGCAATTGATTGCGGTGATAAATTTCCTTTTCTCCATAGCAGCTGGATTTGCATTTGGTTTTATTGGCATCGAACTGCTTGTGGGCAATTTAGATTTTGGTTTTCGCCTATTATTAGGTATAATATGTTCTTTGATCGTTGCATTAGCTGAAATCTATTTGCTAGCCAAGAAATTAAACGAAGAAATCGATGAAGCCGAACAAGCAACACACGGTCAAGCAAAAAAATCTAATGTAACATCTGGGTCTAGAGTCGAAAATTTGAAAGAACACAACGATTAATTTATGTAGTAGATTCATTCGAATAAAATTCAGTTGGAATTTGTGGCTAATTTTCTGTAGTTCATGTTTATTCAGATTATTCAAAACTATTCTGATTGTGATGCTTTTGGTGTTTTCATTTTGTCTTTACTTTGCCAATTGGCATTTAGCGGCCAGCACAGCATTTCGTCTATTGTCTGAAAGATAAATAAATCTACATGGTCAATCAGTTTAAAAGTGTGACAATTGTTTCATTTTATAATTTACCACTTTTGATGTCCGCATTTGCTGCTGAAGCTCGTTCAATAAATTGTTATAATGAACAGCATCTTCAGTTGAAGGGTGTCTATCCAAACTGTCTCTAATTCTTTGAATCACATGCTCAGATATTCTATGGCTCCTCAATTGAGTGTCATTTAAGATATTTTTCACTATTTCTGAAGATTCAGCATATTGACCACAATCGGACAATGCTATGAGACGTACGTTTATTGATGAGAAATGTCTATCAGGTACCACTAAAACATCTAACGCAGTGGCCGGTTGATCCTGGTTGATAGCCAACATTGCCAAGAAATTCATACTTTGGGACAGCTGATGTTCTTTTACTAAGTTCTTGTATATCTCTAGACCATAATCTAAAGAGTCTTTTGTGTTCAGTTTGTAGCAAGCAGCAAATGTTACATAGTTCTGGAATCTCGACTGAATCATGCCCTTTTTTTCCAAAAAACTTCTTTTTTTCTGAAGAACCTGCAGTATTTCCTTGTACATCGCGTTATTGAAAAGCATGTCACATAAGATTAGTGTGCAGCTCAATTGATCAAACAAATGGCCGATTTGCAGGTCATGGTTGAGCTAAAAATGTAAATACACACAAGCATTGATAACAAAATTGATTCGACACAATTGAAATTTGCATTTCACGATTTACTTTAAGTGCATGGTCCGGTAAATTTAGATAGTGAAGCATTCGCATAACAGTTGGTCCAAAATTGTACATGGCCGATGCGTTCGCATCTTTATGTATTTGCCGTAAACTTTGTTGTAATAGCATAAAATCAGTTTCGCACTGTCGTTTGTTCATTAAATGAATCCATTGCTTTGTCGTTCGCACCAATTCCTGGGTGTTGTTTGTTTTAATTTCAAATACCAGTTTCTTTTGGTCAATTTTGAAATTCGGCATTTTAAAACGTTGTGATTCGTAGTCCGTTATGCCGAGAAATTTCTCCGAAAACAACATTCTCACAGGACAATTCAACACTAGAATAGAATTTGATTAGTACTTGTTCAATTTGTTATCAACATTTTTTGGATTTTGCAAGTGTACTTACATGCATTTTGACTGAATAGCTTTTTGGAGGCCGGCCAAATTCGAAAAGAATTCAAAGATATCATTGTAAATGTTTATCTCTCATCCATAAATATCGGAACTTTTCTGAGGTTATGTGAAATGTGTTTATTTACTGTAAATTGAAGCTGTCAATCCGAACATGTCAGACAGTGATATATCTTGATTTGTATGCACATTGCACATCGCTCTCAGGAAAATAAAAATATATCACAGAATAAAAAAATTTCTCAGTGGAAATTTTCTTCATACATAAATATCGGATAAATTTAACGAAATGAAGAATCACTGGGGATGAAAAAACGTAATCCCCAAATGAACTTACTGCATTACCGACGTATTTAGTAAAAATCGATAAATAGATTGAATCTAGAAATAAATGATTATTCAGCACTACCTTTGATTCCACATGATAAAGTTGTCGTGATCAATGTTTCTTGGAATGAAAGTCAAGTTTTATTTTTTAAATATACATTTGCATTTAGTTCATACGATTCATACGATTTTCCTAATCATGTACAACTAATTCAATTTCTTATGAGAAAAATATCCATTCCCTTTTTTTTACGTCGGCATGCTTTTCATTTATTTCAACAGTTCCCAAAATGGAACATCGTATCTGTTCTTAAATAAAAGCAGCACTTCTGGATGATAATTTGATACTTAATAGTTTTTGTTCAATAATAATGATTTCGATATTAATTTAGTTTCTTCTTTTTGTTGTGTTAATAACGGGAACGTGTACTACATGCAAAACTATGAACATTGAAGCGTGTTAGAATTGTAACAAAAACATTGGAATACTGAGGGAAAAGAAAATCTTGAATGCGAAAATAATTTGAATGCACTAACCAAGTAGATAAACTCAATTATCCATTGATTAAAGAAAATTGAAAGTGGATTTGGTTTTGTATTGCTTCTGAAAATGTTTGAAATATTAAACTCTCGTCGATGCGCAATTGAAATTGGCTTTTTCTCAATGTGTATGAAAGTGATAAAGAGAGAGAGAGAGAGTGAGAGGGATGAAAAGGGGAAGGGATATGATGATAGATCCACCGAGTGGATTAGCAATTATCATTTTTACATCTCTCCCTTGAAATATGTTTCATTCCTATTTTCATGTATTAATTTAATTGTCGTGTTATATGTAAGGGGATTGTTTTTTTTTTGTTCATCTCAAATGAACTGCGTTCTCATTGCATCATATTCATTGTCATTTATCATTCTCGTATTATCATTATCTGTATACGCTCTAAACTTTTACAAAATACAAATTGAAATTAGAAATAAATTGTTGAAATTTTGTTGTGTGTTGTGTTGTGTTGTATATTGCGTATGCTGTTTTTGTTTGTTGCGGCTGAACTTGGGCGGTGTATGGCTAATCTCATAATTTATGATTTGATGTTAGCCATGTTAGGCCTTCGCACAGTCCATCACCGGATGTTGCACACGATGGTTGCACATACCAATTTCGATCTCGGATCCTAGTCAATCCTAGTTTCTCCTGAACCTCAAGTGGTTTCATTGCTATTGAATGGGAATAAGATCATGAATGCATTCGTTTAAAATATGTATGATTTGCACGATTTTAATTGAATTATTTACCGTCTGCTAGATCTTGTTTATTTGCAAATATCAGAATAATTGCATCGCGCATTTCTCTATCATTTATTATCCTATGCAGCTCGGTTCGAGCTTCATCGATACGATCCCGGTCAGCACAATCAACGACAAATATTAGACCCTGTGTTCCTGTGTAGTAGTGTCTCCATAAAGGCCGAATTTTGTCTTGTCCACCAACGTCCCATACATTGAATTTTACATTTTTATATGTAACAGTTTCTACGTTAAATCCAACCGTAGGTATCGTGGTTACCGATTGACCCAATTTTAGCTTGTACAAAATAGCTGTAAAATTATGTGGTTAAGGAAAAAAATGGTTTTCGTTCACACAGCTGTAGATACTGACTGAAAGTTTCTACTGCTTTTTGTTTCATATTATGAATAATTTGACGAAGGATATTGATACCAAATAATATGGTATACATTTTGAAAAGGATACTTGTTTTACCAGCCGCATCTAGTCCAAGCATCAAAATCCGCATTTCTTTGTTGCCAAAAATTTTTGACAGTAGCTTTCCCATCTTGATGTTGAACTTCCTATTGGAACAAATCGATTAACTACGAATAAGAGAAGAAAATTGAAGGAAAAACTGTATTAAATATGCAAAATTCATCATTGACAATTTTTTTAAATTAAACAAGAAATTTACCAAAATATCTAATTCGTTTGTATTTTTGAAAAAACATTATCATAGATTGATTCAAATTGACTGATAGGAGTTGTGCAATGATTAACAAACAGCCCATATATATGTCAAAATATAGTTTTTACTAAAAAAACGATAGCTAGATACTGCTGTTATTATTTATAGCACTGAACAAAAACAGCAATCCGTATGTTTAGACAATCAGTCAGTGTGTTATTGCGTTTTGCATTAAAATCATCAATATTTTTGGTTTGCAAACGCACACGATTGCTAGCATAGAAAACATGATTGAAATAACAAAACCAATGTATTGACTACTCTTATCGTAACCCACTTAACCTTTGGCATTTTCCATTTTATTCATTTGTTTGTGTAAGTGAATTGGCAATAAAACGTCAGTCAGTCTATGAAAACAGTTCATTTTTAAATGTGAACCAAGTATTGTGAGCTCAACTTGTCCATTGTAATTGCAAACAATTCAAAAAAAGTCGATCCTATAAAAAGTTATTGCACTGCTTTTTTCATTAATTGATAACTTCCGGCAAATCAAATAGAATTCGAAACTCATCAAATTATATATCATCGATATCTAGAAAAAATATCTGGTGGTGGAAAAAAGTGAAATGTTTTCAAGTCACGTCACCTTTGGATTGCTGCTGTGCGGCATACTGTCATTCGGCGAATATAAACCAATTAGTGCAATTGATTCGACAGTTCGTCCACCATATCATGAGTACGCAAAAATGGCACGCTATTTGGTTCACAAATCAAATTGGACATCGATGGGGACTATATCGAGTCTATCGACTATTCATGGTTTTCCAATGGTGAATGTCATATCAATTGCTGATAGCGCCTGTAATGCACCATCGACGGGACACATCTATTTTTTGCTCACCGATTTGGATTTTACCGGACAAGATTTGGCAATTAATAACAAATTAACAGCTATGTTTACTGAAGATCAAGATTTAGCCTGCACATCCAATCACACCGATACTATGGAACCAACATGTTCACGAGTCATTTTCACTGGCAAAGTAGAGCGTTTGACATTGGACACAGTCGAATACAAACAAGCAGACAAATGGTACACCAATCGACACCCAGCATCAATACACTGGCGAAATTCGCATACATTTTATTTTTGCAAATTGAATATTGAGCACATCGCTGTCTTGGATTTTTACGGCGGTGCACACTACGTTTCCGTCGATGACTACTATAATGCCAATTATGATGCAGACGCTAGCGTTAACGATATTGAAGGTGTTGTTCAGCCATCGGTCATTGGACCAAAACAGTTGGAACAGTAATCAAATTCGCCTTTGGAGAAAAAAACAAACCAATCAGAATTCCCATCAAAGTTAGTTTCGAAGAAAAGAGAATCACTTCAAACAATAAGTGGATTTAAGTTCTGTTCTTCACAATTTGTGCACTTATATTTTCTGCAGACATTTTGTTAAAATAAAAATCAATTCTAGAGATGGTGGTAATTGAGAGCTGATATTGCAAACCAAAAATGTTAACATTGACATCAATATTCATTATATTAAAATAAAAGCAATCAAGCAGCTTGACGAACAGTTTTGTATTACTATGACATTCTGTTGAAACTGAATCACGAATGACATTTTAATCTACTAACTAGTTTTACATCAAGTAGATAACAGAAAAAATCATAGTATATACGCATAGTTTCAGTATGGCCAGCTTTTGGAATTCAAAACGATTAACTGATGAAGTCATTCGGTTATAAAATTCCATTGAAAAAAGTCTAAAGGTTTTGAGTAAAAACTGAAACTCGAAAAATCCCATTTTCATATACTGTGGAAATATGATTAGTGATTAAGAAAACAACTTATTTTTCTCTGGAAGAAAGAAACACAACAAACCCATTGATAAACTGTATGTATATTTCTTACGCGTGGCATACATTTTCGACATTGATTGATATGATTCATGCAAAAAGCAATTTTCTATCAAAATGGCAATCGAGACTGCAACAAATTATTTTTCACCAGAGTTGAATTGATTGCCATTTTTCGAGAAAAAAAATCTGCCAACACAGATGAATCTCTAATCCATAATATATATTTTTCACTTTTATCGCGGCCATTCAGCCAGTAGTTTCAAAAGTCCCAGTAAAATGTTCCATTTAGCGTCAAATAACACACATAGTTTACCATACATTTCAATGCCGTACAACGTGCATAAAATTATGTGAGCGATCTATGTTGTGTGTTGATTTCTTGTTTGAACTTCTTCGTTGTGTTTCTTTCTGGGAATTTCTTTAGTTGCTCATCGAATCTAATGTGTTTGCGCTTTTATTCGTTTGGCATTGTGTGTTTTTTGGTTGTTGTTGTTGTTTAAAATATCGTTACCAATTTGTGTGAGAGAAAGAAATCATTTCAAACATTCATTTCGTTTTGAGCTCATTTCCTGTGAGTTTACAGTTTTTTGTGTTGGCATTTTGTTTGTATATTACAGCGAAAACAATTTTATGTGATCATAGTTTGACATGCTTCGGCTTTATATGATCTCAATACTAGCGAATTATTTCAATTTTTTTCTGGAAATGAAGCAATAATATTAGTTTCAATTTGAGAACTTGATTTTTCCTCAATTGAATGATAACACATTTAAAGGCGATTAAACAAATTCTCTACACCGGTACACGGTTATCAATTGTTTAATTAATTCATGATTTGAATCTGTGACATTGTGAGATCGTGGAACACCAACAGAATCTCGAAGTTCTGCTTTCAGCTTTGCTTTTAATTGTTATATAATGTAAAATGTGTTTTGGAGTCAAACATTCTGCGAACCATTTTTACGCTTGGTACACTTTTTACATATTAAGCTCAATCGGAAATGAAATTATCATCTGTTCTCAAGGAAATATGCAATGTGTATGCTGACACAATTGTGCTTCAATGTTTTTATCTCACTATATATAATTTGTAGTCGTTGTTTTCATTCTACACTTGCTCCAGCAATAAATGCATGTTAATAATTCATCATGTTCTATCTATAAATAAGGAAAAATTCAGTGCATGATTTAGGCTGAACTTCAAGATGAATTGATATATTAATTTTGTATACAAAGCGATAGAAATATTTTTTTTTTCTTGAACATTGACATCTATTTAATTCGTATGGTATTCGGTTAGTAGTAAATTTTTCCAGTCAATCGCATTCGATTTGATCAGAGCGATGTTGGTTATTGAAAAAACACTAGCGGCTATGATGGCAATATAGTTGTATAACGACATTTATTTTTTTTGTTGTTATATATATCAAACATGGTAAAAATTATCAATTTTTAGGTTATCCAATCTGATTTCGACACCAATAATAACATTAAAGTGTCACATTTTTTGTGTTGTCACTTAATAATTATGCGAAACTTATTTCATTTTTTGAAAAAGAAAAAGTAAATGCTTACCACTGAACATTGACAAGACGAAAACAAATGGATATAATAGATAAACGAAGAATGTATGTGTGTATATATAAACTAGGTGTATGGAATTACCAAAAAAAAAACGAAAATAAATGCAACCAAGCACTAACAATTCAATGGCACACCATGTTTCTTCTTTCAATTTTCCTTTCGATGATATTCCTCATTGAAACGGATATATCTTTTCGAAATTTTAATTTGGTCTTTGCAATTTTCTAATGTTATTATCGTTTGGAGTTCATTTTTTTCCACTTTTCTGGTGTAGTTGAATGAATTCCGGGAACTATTGGAATGATTCGTAGCGCTTTTAATCAATGTTCAACATTTCACCAACAAATGTACCGATTTGCAATGATTGATTCAAGTTAACTTTTTTCTGGTTTTAATTTTGCAACATAAATTTTTCACTAAAAAACTTTTTTGCTGTCGATTGGAATTGCTTTTACGTGTATATATTATAGTTATATACACCACATACAACAACACATCACACACAACACACAATGGCGACAGAAGAGTGCGGCGTTGACTAACAACCGATTTCCGAATGTATTTGTTTGTAAAATTCATTCAATGCACATACCGAAACTTGTATGTCTATCTTCTTTCGTTTGTAGCATTTTCGCCGTCATGACATAGACTTCGCCGTTGTGGTTGACTCAGTTAAACAGAAAATGCATGGAACGAAAATCGGAACGCGGCGAATTCATTCAAGCCAACGTTACGCTACCTAAGTATGTTTCAATCATAAACATATTGACATTTTTGCTTTGGCATTTCCACTTTGTTTCAATTTCTAAACAGTTTTATTCAGCCAAAAGCAATTCTCGTCCATTTAGACGTGATAAATGACTCTTTTATTTTATGTTTTGCAAAATACATATTTATTGTTATATAATGTTTGTATTTAAGGATTGACAGTGACAGAGGCGAGAATGCATTCAATAACATTCGAAATCCGTTAAATTCAAATCACTGTAATCAAAACAAATCCCTTTAACTATGTACCATTCGAATTCGATTCGAATTGTGCCATTTCACTTTCATACTGAATGCCATGGTCGCTGTATTTGACAACAAGAATATGAAACTGTCTTTAAATAAATAAATTGAAGGCACGATTCATTTTAAATTCGGTTGCAATTTTTTCAATGATGACATATCTTCCACGGAAATGTCCAAGCAACCAATATTCTGGTAAGGTGGTTTTTTCGATAGAACCGATATTTTTAGAATATGTGGCGTTGTATTGTCATTACCATTCTCGTGCCAGTCATTTATACATTTTCCCAGGTGCAACAAACCAAATCCGATTTCAATATTATTATTACTATTTTCTGACTCATGCTCGGAACGAGTGTTTATTCTCAACTTAATACTCTGTTCCGGATCTCTTAGGATATGTGTTAAACGTTGCACGTTTCGGTTGCTGTGTAGAAATTTCTGCGTGAAATTAAATGTTAATTCATTCATGGAGATTGGCTTCGGATCAGTTCTCATTCGACGGGTCCCAAGAAAACTGTACTCGACATAAATTTGGTCGGTTGTGTCCCCGCTTGGCAGTTCAAAGTCATTATTAAACTTGAGACCGATTATTGTGATAGTGATTAGTGTTTTAGTAGGCATGATTGATTGATCGTTGAGATTTGTTTGTGATATGGGACACTCCTGGTTATCTTCTGAGCTCGCATGTAATCCAACTGTGTTCTGCACCAGCTTTCCATGTGCTGCGACTGTATTTTGGCTCTCATTTTTTTCTTTCATATCCTGAATGCCGCCTTGATTATCGATCGGCGATCCCCATTGCTTGCCTTTATTATACAAAGACTTGAGAATGTCCAATTCACATGTCAAACGGAACCAAAGCGTTAAATTTCCCAAATGTTTTGGCTTCGATTGTGTCACATCACATGCACAAAAACGATTCTTGTGATCACAATCGTTTGATATTGACATCACCTTGGTGGTCAATTGGATTTTATTTTGTGGAAATATTAACACTTCGGCCAAGCTTATATCTACAGCTCCTATTAAAGTGGTTATCGATGCACTGGATGCGAGCAAATTTATCAACAATTTTTCCTGGAAAATACAACAATTCATTCTTAGTTGATATTTGGAAATCGAAATGCACAAGTGAATTGTTTAACATACACTATGCAAGCGTGCCAAGAACTGCTTGTTAATCGATACAACATATATATGACTACAGTCGAAATTGTAATTAGTTGGTGGTCGTATACATGTTTTTGACTCAATTTTACAGCCATAAAAGTTCCATGACACATAAAGTGCGCCAAGTTCACCGTGTCGGCAAGAGAGCAATGGTCGACCCTATTGAACAGAATAATAAGAATCATCACACAATTATGAACAATCGCATAGTCTGCATTGGATCATTTTATGCTTTGAAAAAGCTAATCGAAACCTCTTTGGTTGGGCGAAATGTATTTATATGAAGTTCAAATGAACCTTCGTCGTGATTAATGTATAACATCCTGTCCGTTTCCAACTCGAACTAAAATCATTCAATTGAAATTTAAATGATTATGGAATACTTTCAACAATCTTGAACTATTTACCTGTTGGCCACTTGCTTTGCATTTATCTTCGTAATTTTGTAATTTTAATTTTAAATCGTCAATCTGTTTGAGCAGTTCTTGTCTTTGTTTTTTACACGTTTTACATATCAACTCTAGCTCTTGTTTATACAAATTATTTAGGTTGTATTGAACCCGTAGGAATTCACGACATTCACTCGATTCATCAAGATACTGGTCGAATTCGGAATCATTGCGACCACTTCCGACTTGAGGATTATTCTGAATTTCCTGTAACAAAATTGATCTGGCATTTTTTACTGCTCTACGAATTTCCTCATAAAATAACTCATTTTGCTGGTCACAATCGATTCCATTACAATTGCATGCTAAAAACCGATGATTATCCACGTCGCTTGACATTGGCGGTGCTGCTACATACGCCAGCGGTCGATAATATGCCGCCTTTTCCAGAAAACTCATACGTTGCGAAAATGACATCGATTCTGGCCGATACGAATCGAGTAGCATCATGGAGTTTTGAATTTTTCTATTTTTATTTATGAATAAGTGGAAATTCTCTTCGGAATCTAAAGAACTGTGCGATAAATCAATGTGAAATGTTGGAAGAACTAATTTAAAGTAAGACTTTATGTTTTTTTTCTTCATGTTTTTACCTTATTTCTGAGTCTGTTGTTGAATAACGAGGGCTAAATCGAAATGATGGAAATTATTTTTATTTCAACTCTTCAAAAAAAATCCATTTATAGGTCTAGAAACTTACTTCAAATCGTGTTTCACAGTCAGTCTTTGTGGTTTCTTTCGTGGTTGTTTCTGAGATTTTCGTTCCGCGCTAGAGAACCAAACATATTGGTCAAAGAAAATAGATTGGGCGCACGGTCAAGGGAGAAAAAAAAAGAATCCAAAGCACTATTATATAACGATAAAATGAATTGGGAACTTACATAACGAATGTATTGTCTGATTGTGACGTATCATCGCTGGCAAACGAATGTTCGCTGCATTTTGTCTCGTTTCCTGTATTCTTCTTGGTTTGATTGCATTCATCTCCAGCAGCAATGGTGGTTTGATCACATTTTGTATAGTCTTTTCCCTTGTTTTCTTTCACAATGATGACTGGCTCGAGTGGAATTGGTGGTGGCATCTCTGATGAAGTATGGACGTGGTTTAACGGAGGACTGTTCGGTTTAGTACCAATACTATGAAAAGACTCAATTTGTGTAACATATTCTTGATTTTGTTGACGCAACGTTTCAATATCTGATTTTAGTGACTTTATCTCATCTTGCAAATTAAGTATTGTAGATTTCGCTTCATTCAAAAGATCGGTTAGGTCATCGTTTTTGGACAATACATTCGAATTGTTAACTTTTACATCAGAATTGTTTTCATCGTTATCCAAACATGTATTTTTGACCTAGATTTAGATATTTAGATCACTCAAATGATATTTATAAATGTACTAATTACAAAAATATTCCAAGTAAAGTCTCACTAGTTCAATATTTTCGCCATTGTGTTCATTGGCCCCTGCAACATTACGTAATGTTTGCAAGTCTTTGCAGAGACTTGTGTTTCGATCCATTTCCTTCTGCACGATTTGTGTTAACTCATCTGTTCCGGAAAAAAAATGAATGTTGCACATTACGCGTGTGTTTCGAATGACTTGAAAAACAAAACGCACCGATTTTCTTATGCTCTTTATCTAAATCATTTTCTGCTTTTGCTTTCAATATCAAGTATTGGTCTCGAAGATCATGCAATTCCATTTCACATTCTACCATTGTTCGCCGCAGTTGAACTAATTCCACATTTTCTGCAGTACGCCTATCAATCAGTTGATCGGTAAGTTTTTCTTCGATTGTAACATTTAACCGTTGCAGTGAATCAATGGTTGATTTCGCATCATTCAATTCCTTTATCGAAACAATAAGACAAAAATGTATCATAAATATGTGGCTAACCCATCTCTCCTAAAATGTTTAATTACAATTTCGAGTTTATGTATTATATTTTTAAGATTGTTTATGCAACTTTTTTCTTCATTTGAATTGGCACTTGGAATGTGTGCTGGACGGTTTGAATCATGATCATTTTCGAAGATTATCGATGAATGACTGTATTGATGATAAGATTGTTGTTGTAGAGGTGGTGGTGGTGCTTTGTTCGGATTGGCAGTTTTTGTTGCTGATACTTTTGCCTCGGACATAATGGCGCTTCCACTACCAATGCTAAAGCGATTATCATTTTTGCTAATAATTGTGGGCGGCTCCGGGATTTCGAATAAATGCAAATCGTCTTCACTTAAAATTCTGCATAAAATTGAATTTGTTCCGCATCAATAAATCTATGGTTGTGATAGATGTAATAAACATAGTATTGGGCAATGGTACAAACATTTTTCGCTTTACAGATAAATTTGAACAAGACGCTGGACGCCTCATTGTACTAGTAGTGGTGCTATGTATACAATTACTGTATTTTTTAATTATAGCGTTTAATCGATCCTTTAATAGCGAATTGTATGCCTCCAGGCGATAAATTCTATAATATTTTACACAGAAAAATGAAATAAAATAAAATAAAATAAAATATGTGGAAGCATTAAAACCAAACAAAAACCAATATTACTGTATTTCCAAATTTTCGTTTGGCGCCAATTGTTGCGGAAACGGTGCACCCCGACTTTTACTCTCGGCCGATAGCCGCAACAGCTTCGTGGCCATTTTCTTAATCTTTTGATTGTTTGCTGCATTTTCCTTTTTCAATGCATAATATTCATCAAGCAGTGCTATATAACGATCCTCAAACTCTTGACGTGGAAGTCTTGAGATGTTTTGGCGATGTGAAAGCTGTTCACGTTGGTCGTGTGTTAAATTCGTTCGATAATTTTTTGCGTATGGAGATCGTGCATCCGATCGATTGGACGACCTAATGAAAAACATTCCGGATATTTATTTGTAAATCACTCATTAATTTCAACCTTTCTATCATTTTTCATTGGGCATTACAAAAACACCAATTTAATTCTTACAGTCGATCTGATGATGCAAAACGATGCCACATTCTTATTGTTTTTGTTTTTCTTTCACTAAATTCTCTTTAATTTTATCACTCTCTGTCTTTCTTTTATTTACAATTATTTAAATTGAATTTTATCACATTTTAGAGCGTGTTTATACGTCGACTGTCCAATTATATTTATTATTTGTATTTCTTTAGTTGTGTATACCCGTTGCCATGGTGAATGTTTGTGTTTGTTTATAATACGCGCAGCAATCCTATTTTTGTTTTGATGAGAGAGAGAGATAGAAGTATTTTGAAGCAGAGTTATAATTCTCTCAAGCCAAAGACAAATTAAAATCACATTTAGAATTACATGGAAAAAAGAAGAAAACAAACGCATCTGGTGATTCTTTTTGAAAAGAAAATGGTTTTTATTTTGTCCTAATTGATTCTACTTCGAGATACAGATTACGCTTTTGAATTGAAAATATCTCTAAAAACGCTTCGTGATACATATATCAACATTGTTTTTCAATCAAATTCATATACCCCGGTTGAATTTACAGAAATAGTCAGGCTAATTTTATTGGTTTCGGATTCTTTTCCAACAAAACTCTTAAATATGATCCAAACGATCGGTTTCACACTCTAGCTATATTATGAAAAATGAAACATGATTTCCTCATTCATCAAAATCTTCATCAAATCGAATTCGTCATTATTTCTTTCGTATTGACACTTGGGAAGCGCTTCGATTGCTCTTCCGTAGAGGGAGCCTCGATTTTGTTGTTGATTGTGACGAAGTATTGGTATTTTTGTTGTTGCTGCTGCTGTTGTTGCTTTTGCTGTTAGTATTGCTGCTGATGCTGCTGTTTCTGCCTCGACTACTATTTTCAACCAACTTTTTTGCTGTTTTTCTCGTTGTTGGTGACGCAGACGATGATGATACTGACGAATTGGATGCGGTTCTGGTTGGGATTCGAGAACTGGCTGTTTGTCGACTGTTTGTTTTTGTTGAGGCATTGCGATCGCTCAGCAATTTAAGACTTACGGGGATGGGAGATGATCGATCTGAGACGCTTCGTCGTTTTGGAAGTGGTGTTACACTTGGCGACAGTGATAAATTATTCTTTGGCGACTTTGTGGCAGTCGGTGTTAACTTCTTCAAGTGTTCCACACGTTGTGTTGGACTTTTGATTTGTTCCAAGGATCTTCGATTACGTGTCATGATGTTCTTTTCTTTGAATTCAGCGACCAGCGCATTCCGTGTTCGATGCACTATCACATTTTCACTTGATTCCATATGGAGCCGTTCCAATCGAACATGTGCCTGTGATAGGCGATGACGTTTTCGTCTATCTTGCGTTGGTTGTGCAGGAGAAGATTTTGGTGCTACATTCTTTCTGGCAGAACTCTGTGAAATTGATTTTGGAATGGAAAAGAATTTAGCCATATGTATTATTATTTTGCGTTCTAAGAACAGAAACCAAACTATCTATATCTATATCTATACATAAGGGATAATTATTTGGGCATTGGTTATAGTCTACTCTTATGTATAAGTTTTTTATGAATGCAGTTTTATGATACCTTCTGTGGAACAGATTTGGATTTTTCATTATTCTTTGGGTTTGCTTCTTTTCGCAAAGTTCTAGAGGGAACGATCTGTGTCGCGGCAGAAAAAAAAACAAACGAAAATTGTTTTATCATTGATGATGTGATTTGTGTGTTCTATAAAAACTAAACTCTGTGTGTAATGTGAGTAGGTGCATAAGTGGTTTTTATTACATAAACATTCAAGAAAAATATATAGGTTATGTTTTCGGAAATGAAAATGACTCCGTGTAAATGTATTGCTTTTAAAAGCGTGTAATCGCAATCAGCAACATTTCTTGATATTTGCACTCAATTTTGTTGTACAAAAAAACTTACTGGAGATGCGGTGGGTGTATTTGGAATAACTTCATCATCAGACTGCTCCTGAGTTGATGTAACGACCTGTTTGTATGCATAATAGAAGATGCATACGGTTATCATTGCTTATCAACTGAATGTTTGAACATAGAATAAATTACTTACAAAGCTGTCACAGTTTTCATTTTCGTCTGGAATCTCCTCGTTTTGTGTTGAATTTCGCTTATTCTTGTTGTATTTCGATGGTGTGTTTCTTTTGCTTTTAGTTTTGGAAATGGATTTACTGGCACTGCTCACAAAACTTTCTTCATCCGACGAGATACTGCTGTTTTGAGCTTGTTCCACATCATCTGCAGTGTCTTTGGCCTGGTCAATATCTGATGATTGCGTGGATGGCACCGGCGACTTGTTATTAGCACCATCTATCAGTAGAATGTCGTGTTCTATGTTAATACAAATAAATCATATTCATTTTCCGGGGATAAGCCACTTACCTATGGCAGCTGGTTGACTTGTTGAATCAATTACACATTCATCAATTGGATTCTGTTCGATATTCTCGTCCACTGAATGCTCATCATCTGAGCCCGCTTCCTCCAAGTTGTTTGCAGTTGATCGATTCGGTTTTGTGAATGTACCGTTCAGCATATTAATGAAGACTTTGATGTAACTCTCGACTTTGCTATCGTTTATCGATTTGTCCAACAAACTTTCGGCCAATTCTTTCAGTTCATCTTTGAGTGCTGGACTCGGGTCGATATCTAAGGATTGCAATTCTTTCGATAGAACTTTCAGCAGTTCCTTATTCGATAAATGCTCGTGCATATTTTTCAAAAACGACCGAGCAATCGTGTTGTGAATGTTTGTGCTGGAACTATGTGACGACGGCATAGTTGAATTGATGACAAATTTGATAACTGATTCGGCCTTAATCTCGCGCAAGGGGCTTTCATGAGGTGCATCCAGTATTGTGAACACTGTTGGAAGTAGTGCTCTTTCCAAACACGATTGTTTACCGCGTTGTATAAGCGTTTCAAAGAATACGCTGAGAATTTGATTGATTTCCGTGCATGTGGTTGGATTGAAGAATTTCAGGATAATCTTCGATATGAGCTCACTGGTTTCGTAATGTCCGCCCAAAATCAATCGACAAAAACCGGTGGCCAATGCCATGCTAATCGTTGCTTCTTGACAGGTATCAAAGAGATGGGCGAACAAATACATCACATTTGTTCCATTCTTTCCATTGTCTTGGCTTTCTTCCTGTTCATCTGGATCACACGACACATTGTACAACTGCCGTGTCTTTTTCGATTTGAGACTATCCTGCTTTTCACTGTCCGTGTCATAAGCAAAGTACTCAATGCCTGAAAAATATCCATATGATTAATAATAAGTGACTTGAGATATTTTTTTATGCGTATGACATACCGTATTTGTCGAACATTTCACAGATCCCGTTCACAGCTGTTGTCCATAGACGTGGTTGGTGGTGACGCACAAACTGCTGATATAATTCTTCGTGAACAACTTTTGCCAGTGATTGATACAGCATGCTAAATGCAATACCGCATTTAAGAGCTCGATCACGAATTTCCATGTGCTGTGATTTCAGGTGTCGTCGAACGAAGTCCTCAAACAATTTGAACATGTTTGGTGTCAATGAAGTAGTGCGCTTCGAACAAACAGTAAAGAAACAGATCTCGAGGCAATGCAGAATCCATTCCTTGGATACTTTTTTCGAGTTCAGCGATGTCAATACGGTGTTGTTCAATTCAGAATTATCAGTTGATGTGTATGCATTCAAAATATTGAGAAATTCTTCATTGCATATGGCCAAATCTTCGGTCGTTTTCTCCAACATTGCATAATCTTTGGCATTTGATAATTCATTTTCTTGTTCACGCAATTCCATGATACGCAATTTCAGTTGTCCGATTTTCACTTTGATTTCGGGATCTTTGATGCTATCGAGCAGTGCTGTTATAGATGGATCGGACACATCGATCGATGAGCTTGGTTCAATTATACTACGAATTATATCGATAAAGTATTGCAATCGTGTGTTTGCGTCGGGTATGAGATTTTCCACACAGTCCACCAGCTTTTGGACAACATTTTCGCCAAGAATTTGTGTAGATAACACTTTTGATACGAATGAATTCAAGTTTTGTCTTCCGATTTCGTCTCCCAGATCAAATTTCAGCAAGATTTCAATGAGAATATGCAATTTGTACTGATTCTCTTGATCGTTCCATGAATCAGAATCTTCTGTGGCTGATTCTTTTATGTAGTTTATGTATTTTGATAGATATTCGCAGAATGTGGACAGTTCGCAGATTACATGCTGCAATTGGTCTTCATCGTCTTCGTTTGTGTCAGTTTGTTGAACAAATTCGACGACAGCCAACCAGAATACTACCAATTCAACCGTCAACTTTTCAAACGGTATGCACATAACGAATTCTCCACTCGTACTTAATGGCAACTGATCTAGTAATTTATCGATCGAATCGTTCCTAGGAATAACGAAAGCCAAAATTGTAAATGATCATTGGTGAAAACAAAATGCTAAATGCGCTACTCACTTGAACAAAATAAACAAGGCCTTCTTGGTGATTTTTACAAAGCGCTGTATTTCCTCTGGATTGGCGTCCAATTTCAATGCCGAAATCAATTGCAGGTACTGTCGATTGTACGATTGATGCCATTGAGGTAACAAGACACTGTGTACAATTTTGCGAACGGATTCTGAATGATCGTTGAGCCCTTGCTCGAGTAACATTAGACGTTGAGCGACTTTGTAGCTTTTGACCGGGTGACTGCTCATTTGTAAATAAGTGCGACGCCGTACACGCTCATCAACATCCCATAAACGTTCCAGTATTATTGGCACTGTCAATGCATTACGGCCAATGGACTTGAGGACGGCCTGTCGGACCAAAACCGACGGATCGTTGCTTAGGTGATATGAATACAATCGAACAACGCTGTCATCGGGATTCTCTGGAATCTGAAGACGTTGTAAAGCGCAAACCGCTTGTACGCGAACGGCTGGTGAATTATCTTTCATTCGTTCACTCATGTATCGCAGAATTTCGTCAAAAATGTCATCGTCAATGTTTGCTTCGGAGCTCATTGACGCCAGTAACAAGTTGACAAACTGACAAATCCGGAAGCGTACATTGGTCACCAAACTAATGTTTTTCAGCAAAAAATCAAAAGTTGACTTGAGAATTGGATGCGTAATAGTATCTGGGTCATCGCATCGCAGCGATGACAAATACTTGGCCAAAAAGCCTAATCCGACGTTAGCGTAAGAATTGGATTCATCCATTTTCATCCAAATACGAATGCCTTTCAGAAAATATCGCATGAAAACGGCATGATCCATCTGAAAAAAAACGAACATTAACAAAACACACAACATCAGTCACATACAATAATTACGGTGCCGCCTGAATCAAACCGACAAATCAAGATACTCACTTTTTCGTAGATATTGGTCAACTCTTTGAAATATTTATTGTGAAGAGTTTCATTTTCTTGTGCCTTTTCAAAAATGATTGATAATGGACCGCATTTGTTCTGCGTTTGCAGTGTACTCCCATTGCTACTGATGTTGCTGAGGTTGCTGATATCGCTTATTACACTTACATTGTGGATCGACGCCTGTTTTGATGATTTTTGCCTTTTTGACACTGGCATCGAGGGAGGAGGCATTAGCTCCTCATCGGTAACGGCATTTATTTTCCGTTTTCGTGGAGCCTTTCTCGACATCACAAACACTGAAATAATCAGTAGGGAAAAAAATGAATAACATTTCTATCACAATTATTCGACATCTTTCGATTGTATACTATTTTCACACTATGCAAATGTAATGCTACTGTCAAAATTCACAATAAAATGTATGCTGCAATAGAAAATTAAATGAAATCACCGATAATATCACTTACGTTTCTATTCAAAGACAACGTTTTAAAAACCAAACCAATTTAAGAGAACGACAATATTTCAAGGAAAAGAAAACGATTTCCTCAATGTTCTGTGAACCATTCGACGCTGTCTTCACTGTTGAAATGAAATTCGAAATGTTGATGCCGTTGTTGTTTGTGTGTACGAAAATGGATGCGTTCCATCCAATTCGCTTGAAATACACCAGATTTGAAAATGTTCGTTAATTTGACTTAAGTGTTGTACTCAAAACTTAAGTATTATTAGTTTAATGTAGTGTTTTTACTTTTTTTATGTAGGAACAATTTTTTTGAGTAATCGGTTATCGAAAAACTGCTATAAAATGGAACAACTCAAATCTTGGTCAAAAAACGTATTTTCCACAAATCGATTTTTTTTTCGAATAGAAAAAATGCACAGAATGGTTCCAAAAAATTGTAGATAAATTGTAGAATTAAAATCAATTGTCTGTTTTCGAATACGTCAGCCCATTTGTTTGAATTGAGACGAGTCATGAAATGATGAAGAAAATAAAACAGAAGGCGAATTTTTGTAAACAAATCTTTATTCAACAATAGTAAAATTTTTACATTTTTTTTGTTTTATTTTTTAAATATTTACTGAATTCGCACAGAAATAAAATCAAAATTTTCACGCCGGAAAATTCGACTTATTTTCTTTCCAACATTTTAAAGTAAACTGTACAATATTTTGCAAAGCATGACTAAAAAATTGTAAATACCTATGATAAAAGAATCAGCATTTTCCTGTAAAAGTATCAATTTTGAGCTTCATTGTTCCTGTATCTGTTTTCAATTTTTAATTTTTTTTGATCATTATTATTGTTTTGGTTTTTTTCTTTCTCTCGACTGCATTTGGATTGTAATCAAATTAAAATCTTCAATACATCATTGCGTTATAATTAAAACACTTGGACGCGATGATTTTCTCGATCGCAAACCAATATATTTCCATTTGACATGATAGCAACACCTTCTAAACCTTTGAATTCAGCATCACCTGAACCCCAGGAGCCGAAGGCTCGCAGGAAACTTCCATCTGGATGGAAGATTTGAATGCGATTATTACCAGAGTCGGCAACACAAATATAACCTTGATCGTCCACCGCAACGCCTCTGGATAATATACACAAATTAGAAGGAAAAACGGATGATTTAGAAAGAAAATTCATTTTTTTGAACAGTCTGTGTCACTCGCAGACACACACACACAATCTTACCTTGGAAACTTGAATTGACCTTCTTCAGAGCCTTCGTTTCCAAATGTTGATAAGACGCGTCCGTTCACATCGAATACTTGTATACGATGATTGTTGGAGTCAGAAACAATTACGCGATTCGTATTGGACACGGCAATGTAGTGAGGATGCTCGAGATTTCCCTCTTCTTTTCCACACGTTCCAAATTTACCAACAAATGTGCCATCTGACTGAAAGACCTATAATTTCGAGAAGTGACGCATGATGTCTTGAGATGTTCATGGTTCATTGGATTATTTTAATTAACTCTTACCTGTACTCTATGGTTTTCTTTATCACAAACGTAAATAAAGCCGAGAGCATCAGTCGTAACGCCCCAAGGATAATTAAATTTGCCATCGGCTATGCCTTGTGTTCCAAATGAACGTAAAAATCTACCCTGTGGATCCAATACTTGAATCCGATGATTGTAACGATCTGCTATTATATACTGTCCAATGCGATTGACTGCAACACCAGCTAAGCAATCGAATTCGCCCTCTCCATTTCCATATTGACCGAATTCTTTAACAAAAATTCCATTCGAATCGAAAACTTGGACTCTGTTGACAATAGATTGAGAATCTATCAGCTCAAGGAAAAAACAAGACCGCAGAGCTTCGCTTCGCTCCGCTCTGCGTTCTTGAGTTTTAAGTTACTTAATCTATTTTGTTGTTTCACAACAAACTATTTTTTGGCGCACTACATGAAATGTATTTCATCAAAGTAACTTTGAAGTAATATATAAGAAACAAATAAAATGTATGATACTAATGTATGATAAAATATAGTTTGGAAAAATAAAAAAATTGTATGTCAATCTTTTATGTATATATGGAGTGTTATATATTAAATCTTCATTAGTGCACCGGTTTTAAATCAAATAAAGAATATGAGCATATAATTCAAATTCACCAACATTTGTTTGAGTAGTCAAACTTGACCGAGAAAAAAAAGCAGATTAGTAGCTCTACATTTTATGTAGTGCTAATAATGTGGAAAAGAAAAAAAAGTAAAAATATTCCACCCAAACGAACCGATGATTCGATGAGTCCGCCACGACAATGCTGTTATCTGGCCCGACAGCTATGCCTCTTGGCCATGTAAAACATCCTGGCTCACTCCCCCGGCCACCTAAAATGTTTAAATACAGATTAGATATTTCACAGCTTTCATTCGAATGTTGATGCTTTAATCACCAAGTTGAAACAATTGGCGTCTCTTCTGCAGGTATTGCGTTCTAGGTGAGATACTGTAAATATAAATTGAATGCCAGTAATGATATGCAAAATTCAAATTGAATTTAGTCAATTACCCTGGAACGCCCGTTATACCGGTTGCCGCCCTGTAAATGTGATGTTAAATTATTATACGTTTGATATTGGTTTGGTTTTCGAAAAAATATGAAAAACAACAACAAAAAACAAGCTACTTACGTAGTGGTAGGGGAGCCTGGCCCGTTTTTTGAATCGTCATCAGAGCTTGCGATTTCGTTTGCTTGGCGCAAAGGTAGGCCGAGACTTAAACGTCTTGAGTTTGCACTGGTACTACTAGTACCTGCTGTTGAAGTGTTAGCAGTTGATGAGTTAACGTCGCGTGACGAGTCCTTTGATCGGTTACCCTATTGTATATGATAAAAAGAAAAAAATCACACACTTTTATAAACAATGTTATGTACATATTTATGAGGATCACGTCTTCATACCTGACCGTATTTGTTCTTCAAATACCGTGCCCAGGAGCTCAGTGCAGCTCCATCTTTATCGTCATTTGCGATTGACGTCGTTGCCGACCGTAGTGGAGATGCTTCACGTGCTTTCAAAGCATGTGATGATCGACTGCGGGCAAGATCACTGGCGCCACTGCTGCTTCCAGCCCCACTTGACAATCCTGTCGCACCATAGCGTCTAAAAAGAATTGAAGAGTTTTTTTGTATTCGTTAAATGTTCTTCCTTCCATTGACTTTTCTTAATTATTACTTATTAACTTTACAGATTCGCAACAAATAACTTTAGCTGTTCATTGAAGATCGTCGATTTAATTAACAAAGCTCATAATCAGTTTACATTCACATGTTTGTTATTTATCATTTTAATTTCGACTACTCAAATTTGCAACAAAAAAAGAGAGAAAAAAATGTCCCATATTTTTTACACTACACACACATACACACATAAAAATGAAGGAATCAACAATGTATGAGTTGTTAAAATGAATAGAAATGAGATTATGGCTACATATGAAACTGGTAGCTTTCTAAAAGAAAAAAACAAAATGAAAAAAGCACCACTAAAGCAAACAGTTTTTTTGTTTCTCAAAGTATAATGACTGAAATGTCAAATCAAACCTGGAAGCGAGATAAGCATTTGGGCTAGCTGTGGTCGGTGATACTGGCTGATCCAGGATATCCTCATCATCGTTTCCCATTAAATGCGATGAACGACTTCTGGCCAGCCGATTGCGCCGCTCTTTTAACGCTAAATATCTTGAACGACCCGTTCCATATTTGTTATCCGAATCCTCACCAGTATTGTCATCATCGATCGATGGTTGTAATGCAACCACGGCCGAACTTTTGCTTTTATTCAAAAATCGGCTTTGATAGCTGTAAATTGGTTAATGTTAATTGTTTACTACTGCGTTTCAAACGAATGAATGAAAAATTTTATTGCGTTCAGAAGAGATGAAAAGCTTGAAAAAGGGAAGAAAAACAAACCCAGGAGAAAAAAAAATCAAAAATGTCCCTCAGAATGATTGTGAGAATCAAGTAGGTTACAAATATCTGATATTGCATGGTCATTCGACGTAATCAATTGTTTATTTGTAACGTAGTTCATACTCCAATTCAGTTCATAGGTCCAAATATGTAGTCTTTTCAACCCTTTGATTACACAAATTTATATTTATTTTCTTTTTTGATAAACTCTTTACTTTGATACAAACCAAATTAGATAATAAAAGGTAATGCAGTTATGAAAGAAAAACGACTCTTTTTTACTTGATGATCAAAAGAAAATTCACTGTTCTCGGCGCAAATTTCGTTCTTATTCAAATGCAAAACAAAATATTTTTATTTTTAACACCCTTAGCATAAGCCGATTCATGAATAAATAACACCGCTTGATAAATGGTTTACAATCATTTTAACTGGGCGTATTTATAGGTTATGCAATGAAACAAAAAATAAAAGAAAGCCAGTGCTATTGCCATAGTGGCGAAGCGTTACGACTACGCGTACCACTACGAACCACTACGTTTAGGGAATTAGTGAACGTAGTACTACGCGTACTCGTAACGCTTCGCCACTAGGGCTATTGCACTAAAGAAGTAATGGTTTTTTTTAAAAACAAACGGTTGGTAATGAACATATTTTGCTCTGTATCTGCGGATTACGTTTTCTATTGAAAAATCTAAATGGATTAATATCTAATCCCATAGTATAGATACTTCCTGATAAAAATGATTCCAAGTAAAATCAACATAAAGTCTGTTCTATTATTTGACAATGGAAGGGATTTCATATTATAACTCTGGATTTCTAGCAGAAAAATTCGAAGGGATTTACATTTAATCCAAAAAACTATTCACATACGCAATGCGAATGTGATAAATATTAAACACATACTTGATTTTTTACTTAGAAATTGGTGAACAAAGATCAAAGACAGTTTTGTAGCAGCATTCAATGAGAGGTAGTATTATTTTTTCGAGATTCTAAAATGCGACCACTGTCAATTTGTTTTTTCAACAAATATCATGGCTTTGCAATCTTTGGAAAATGATTGGTTGTTCATTTCAAAAACAACGGCATCCGACCATTTGCCAAAAAAGCACTGCTTTGTCAGCAATTTGTGGAAGGTATAAATAGGAGCGTTGCTTGCTGAAGAGTGGCAGAAAGCCGATCGAGTGAAGAAGATATTTCGTTACTACTTATGTCGTGGATGCGAGAAAATGCCTGAAGCAACCACAGCTGTAAATATAATCCATTCGCGCAAAAAAATGACCTCTAACGAAGCAACGAAAGAATGTTTGCAGACCACACCGTTGTGGTGTGCGCAAGGCCTCGAAATTTCGGCGCAGCCAGAAAATGGACGCAATGTCACATGGAATTACGATGTAAACGCTGGTCGGAATACCATTTTAAGAGTAATGACTATTTGAACCAAAGATGTCAAATCACTATTATCAATAAACTCATTTCATACGAACAGATTGGTGTGCAGTAGTGGGTGTTGAACTTCATCAAGCGTTTAGAAGACCAACACAAGAAGAATACACCACCACCAAACTGGGTATTCTAAATTTGGAATATTTTCCTTTTAATTTGTGTGATTCATTCATTGAGAAATGCTCAATGATACTTTGTGTGTGGAGAATTTTGAATAAATTCTATCTGCGGTTTTCAGATTTATCAACTAATACAAGGAACATAATGTTCTAACCGAAATCAAGTAGGAGCTCAACACCATCTGAATTCTCGCGAGCTATAGGCGTTCCATTTCTGGTGAAGTCTCGTGTTAAGACTCTCAACAATTGCAAAGTGTAATGCTTGTAAGTTCTGTGTGGATAAAAATTTAATCCTTTTGGATTTTTCTACTGAAAAATCCCAAGATATTAATATGAAATCCATTTTGTTTTTCTTTTACAGTGTATTGAATTTTCTGCTCGATCAGTGTAACCATCATTTATACGCATTCCGGTAGCGGCCAATTCTAGAAGTTTTTGGAAAAAACATAGTTCTTTCACATAGCTTATAAATAATTTCAAAAAATGCCCTTGTGGAAAATGTGGGCCAGATATTGCTGCATGTTAATTTTAAACGTTTAGTCTAATATCAAGTGTTATTAACTACAACTGCAGTATGATGAAAAACTGAATTCCATCGAAAAAATCCACATAAATCGTAATTGAAAAAATACGACTAAAATTATTATCAATGTGTGAATAAAAAATGTGTTTTACTCACCTACTACTGCCTGGTCCATAGCGACTACCGTGATCTTCGTATTCGTTATGTTGTTGGGCGGTTGCTCGTGATCGTGGTGATGAAATTGCAGTGGATTTTGAGTCGTCGCTGTCACGTCCATAGGTCGGGCTACTATAGCCACCCACGCGAGATTTATGTGGTTCATCGCGAGAGCTGCGTATTGGATCTACGTGTGAGTCACGCGATTGGGAGTTTCGATTTGCATATGAATCACGACGAGTCGCACCATTCACTGCCATACTGCTTTTTGGCACTTGTTCTTCTTCGTCGTTGTCCGATTCTTCGCTTGTCGTTTCTTCTTCGCTGCTACTGCTTTCAGTTTCATCTTTTTTGGCTGTTTGATGATTGGGTAAGAAGCGACTTTTGAAAGGTTTCTTCTCTGGCACCAATTCAATGGAGCCACGTGGCCTAGAAGAGACTTGTGGAACTTCTGGTTTAGTCGTTTGCTTTGTGGCACTCTGTACATTCCGTGTGGTTGATGTGACCGTTGTGGAAGATGCTGAACTTTCAGTGGACGTGGTGGAGTCCGTACTGCCAGAACGTGTTGTTGGCGGCTTTTTGGCTACTGTTGACGGCGCACCAGCGCTTACTGTTTTTATTGGCTGTTGATGAGATGTTATTGAACCATCAGAATCTTCCGTGTCAGCCTGACAAAAATTGACGAGTTGATGTGTGTTGTGTGTTTTGCTTACAATTATTTTTAATATGTGTGTATTTTGTATTTTATTTCTTTCTGAATGCTCATTCAAATGATTATAATATCAACATTTATTCCATTTTTTTTCGTTTCAACTTTTAGCTGTTTTTCCTTTTCATTATTATTTTCTTGTATTGAGGCAATAAAACTCAAATTTGATACTTTTTTTTTCTCTCAGAAAGAAAATGCATGTTCAAAGTCTAATATAGTTTAACTTTCTATCAAAAACTAAAAAAAGATATGTAAAGTATTGCGTTTAGCAGTGTTTCTTGTATTGTGTTTGTCTTATTTGGTTTGACGTATAAAATAGTTAGACTTTTCTGATTTCAGTAAGTCAGTTTTCATCGAAACTTACCTCAGCATGTGTGGGCGGTGTACGACGCACAGGTGATGTAGCTGAACCATTATCACTATCATCGCTGGCCGTACTACAAAAACACACACACAAATCAATTAATTGCATTAAGGTTAATCATTACATCGATTTCATTACCTGCTAACGTTTGACGTTGTTCGAGTTTTTAAAGCGGCAACACGTTCAGAAATAGGTCTGCATTGATATAGCCATGTATTTATAGATTAGAATTTCAAAAATATTCTGTTGAGCCTAAATTCATTTAACAATACCTTTCTGGTTCTGGTGCTGGTGTGACTGGAGTAGTGGTAGTCGATGTAGAACCTTTGTTTTGTCGTTTAATGCGATCGATTTCGTCTTCGGACATTTGACGCTGAGCCGGTGGTGCATTGGTGGTTGGTCGTTTTGGTTGAACTGTCGGTTGTTTTGGTGCGGCTGGTGTTGGAACTGGTTCCTTCTTTTCCTTCTTCGGTCGATCACTTTCTTGAAGTCGCTTCATAACTCTTGGTGAATCAGCCAATCGAATTATACCGCTCAAATTACCACGTGAAACATGTTCAGTGTCCAAAACACGTTCTCGTTCTTTTTCCTTCTCCTTTTCATGGAAACGAACGGCACGGTTTTGTTCAGTGTCCGAGTCGTCTTGTTGATGGCTTCGAACAAATCGTGAGCGGAAACGTGATTTCGGTTGGGAACGGGTCGATGATTCATCATAATCATTTCCGTAATCATATTCGTTTCCCCCTCTTGAATATCGACTGCTTTAAAGGACAAAAGTAAAAGGTAAAACCAAAAGTAAAATTAATTTCACAATCCCATCTATCGTTTAGACATAGATAAATGAATGAAGTTTCTCAAAGTGTATCTATTACATAGACGAGTTGAAATTACATACCTGCCGCCATCATTTCCATAACGATCATTGGTCGTCATTCTGCTGGGTCGTTCACCAAATTTGCGTCCAGATAGCACCGGTTCGTCTTCATCTCGAATTCCACGCTCTTCTTGCTGCTGTCTAAATTGTGTTGCTAAGCGATGATCACTTTTTGATCGCATTAGACCCGGTCCTGAGGGTGGTTGTAAAGAATTGCTGCCGCTACTTACTCCTGCTGAATGTGGTGCCGGCGTAATATTTAGCTCACCAAATCGACTCACACTCATAACCAATTGATTTGGATCGATAGACATCAAGAACCGTACACGTCTCGTATAATCGGTATTTTCGTACTCAAAACTACGCAAAAACTCAACCGTGCGTAAGAAAATCTCCTTCGTGTCCATTAATTCACAATCATCCCATTCAATGTTCTCATTCATATATTTATCGGCAACATCACAGTTGCTTTGAATGTTTGCGATTTCTAAATCAAGGTTTTCCTTTAATGTGGTCAAGTTTCTCAGTTCTGTTGTTAAATATCGGTCGATTTCGGTGCGCAGAAAATCGGTGCGATCTTTGAGTGCCTTGCCCAAACGGCGATATATCTCCTCGACCTCCTCAGACACGCTTAAACAATTCGATTGTAAACCTAAGGTATTTTTTTCCACAATAGCTAAAGAGTCTTGTAGTCTATTGACCCCGCGCCGTACTTGACTGTTGATGCGATTGATCTCACGACGCAATATATCCATGTGTGCGCTTTTACAATCCTCACAGATTTTTTTGTCACAATGCGCACACGGTGATAAATACGACTTTTCTGAGCACACATTACAACGCTCCATTATCTGGCCTATTGTTGTTGTTGTTTTTTTTTAATTTCAGATAAGCCCATTTTTAGAATTGAAAATATTTTAAATTTTGATCTATTATAACTCTTACCAGACGTAGGATCTGGTGGTTCACCGGTTATTTCCATGCGAAGTTCCAAAAATCGCTGTAAAGTTACATTGGTTGGAAAGGCCTGGACGCCCTGATATGGAATGCGATGTTCTGCTCGGCATTCGGGGCACTTGACTTGTCGGCGCACATAATCGACTAGCCCTTCCATACATGGTTCCATGCAAAACGAGTGCTGACACGGTAGCAATTTTGGATTGCGATACCGGTCCAAGCAAACGCAGCACGTTAGAAGTTGTTCAAAATGTTCCATCCTTTTTTATACTCTGAAATGATTTTACGAAAATATTCAAATTTTTATATCCAATGAAATAAGCCATTTTCCATTCATTTCACACAGCTCAGCCTTATTGATGTGAAAAAATCATTTTTTTATGTCCGTGTTGTTACACATAACAAAGAAAATGTAAAAATCAAATAAATTCAGTCAAAATTGGTGCGCAGTTTGCTATATGCGCAATGCTGACCATTCGCCGTTACATTTGTGATCAAAACGGAAACCTTCTCATCGCTGAAAAATTACTTTGTCATTCTACGTGTTTCTTCTTCTGTCCTGCATTGTTCGCATTAAATTTGACATTGAAATGAAAAATCCAATTTTCGGATAAATAAAGTGAATTGATTTAATTTTTTGAATGGAAAACCGTACTAGTTTCCAACAAATGTTGTCGGAAATGTGAAAATTATTCATAAATATGAAATTCACGATGAAAATCTTAAAATAAGTTCTGTTGGTTCATATTATTTGGATGTGTCTCATTTGAAAACTAACTGACGTCATGCACGCATTCAGGCTGTTGTTTTTTTTCTTCATATTTTAGATACTTTGACAGAGCAAAGATTTATTAATAAAAAGAGAACTTTCACATACTTAAATTGTTGGTTTCAATTCTTTATGTTTTTCTTCCTGACTTATCTTATGATTGTTTGGGTAAAAAAAAAATGGAAATATCTTTTATCTTTCAATGCTCCTTTTCAAAGTCATCGAATAAACACTGAATGATTTAATATTGCACATAGTTCGGAAAACACGATGAATATCAAAAGAACCATATAATTTTCAATCTTTCTATGCGTTTCAGACGATTTACTAAAAGGAATCACGAGAGACTTTTTTTGTTCACTTTATCTAGAATGGTTGTTGCACGTTCAGAGTGTACATTTAAACTGAGCGCGCGCGCCGCTTGTCGGTGAGTTAGTTTGGTACACATATTTGGAAAATATATATCAAGAGAGTATTTTTAATTATTTTCTCATCCGTTCAGTGTCGTCCGCATGTGGCGGCTCGCATATGTATTGGAATGAAAATTTTCATCTCAATATACTTAAATTACAAAAGGAGCGTGCGCGAATGCGTTTCTAAGTATTACGCTCGAGTGCATATGAAAATTTCTTTCTTCGTGCTTCTCTTCATACATACGTGAAAATATTTATTTTTGGAAGAATTTTCTCTCTGTATTTTACACACTGTATAACCTGAGAAAACTGGAAAATAATTCATAACGTCTTTGTTTTTTTTTTCTTCTTTAAAACGTATGTTTCATAGTCCAAATCTCACATTGTTCGGATTGGAGAAGAAAATGGCATAGAGGCTCGCTGCTTCTTCTGTTAGTCACCATAGATAATTTTGTACTGCATACATATAAAAATTTGCAGTGGAATAATTGGAAAAAATAACGGTTGAATGATAATGCAGATTTCACTTGAATTAAAACTGATCTCAATTTGGTAGTGGAATATTTAATGTTAACATTAACGTTTGATGTTAGTATATGACAGAAAAAAATCATATTGACATTGTAGCGAAATGGTCCACATCATTTTAACAAAAACAATTTGATTGTAATTGATCTCATACAAGATTTTCGCACTACGTATTGTGGGACCTATTTACAGATTCCTACTTTGATTTTTCATCGTTCAAAGTGAGTAAACCGTCATTTATATATACACACGCTTATATATAAGTAAATGAGTCAACTGTCAGCGTGTGTATATGAGTTTGCATCTATTTATAAATATATATTTCTTGGCATCATTTATTTAGATAAAGGAAAACGACCAAGACAACCATACATAAACTTATTGAAGGTTGTTCTGTTTATTTATTAATTGTACTTTAGAATGAAACTCATTCATAATTATTGTGAAGGCGAAAATATGTATTCGCAATTATCGATAAAGGAATATTCCGTCACAATAAAGATGAGATCACTTGACAATGATGCGATAGTTGATCAAAAGTGTAAGTTCTGCGCATTCTATCAGATTTACAATTTATATAAAAAATGAATTGCAAAATACCTAAATATCATCAATCAGTAATGAAGTAATACCAAAATGTATTCGACGTGTATTGTTCATCACTTTTAACTATTCAATTCATCACAAAAGGCGGGTATCTGTATAGCGGTACAGCTCATTAGGAACTACATCACATAGCCTCATGTGAGAGGTGTGTTTTCTTAAAATTGAAAGAATCCAACTATGTGTGACATCGTGATGTTGTTGTTGGCGTCAAAAAAACACACAAACTGTCGAGCTGCGGTTATAAACGGATTTTTCTTCTCTCGTCTCCAACCGCAGATTACAGCAGATTGGTAGAAATCATTCGAAAGAATTTACACAACCTGAGTGAGTGAGCTTTGAAAATGTAAAGCGGCGGAAATGTGATGCAACTGTCAATTTTTGAATTCAGGAGCTATTACGCAATCACTTTTGTTTGTACTTGCAAGAGAAAAACTGCTCATTATCAAAGGTGTTGACTTAATGAAATATGAAACATTTCAAGCGAAAACATCGCTAAAGCTTGCGTTGGTTGATTGAGAATAGCGATTTTCAATGAGTGCGTCAAACACTACGTCATCTCGTAAAGTGATGAGCGCTCTGTGTGCTCTCAAATCACATATTCATCTTGATGTGTACAGTCATGGACAAAATTGAGCGTACGCCTATAAATTTTGTGTTTTATTTTTTCCAGTAACTTTTCATCTCAAATGTAATATATCAATGGGAAGTACATAAAAAATCAATAATATTGGCAATTTTGAACATCTAAATTGGCCGGCCAATAGGCGGCTTATGGCTCTCGGTAAAAATGGCCAAAAATTCAATTAAAAATGGCCAGCCGTTCGATTTGAAAAGTTTAAATGCAGTTTTGAAGGCCTTCAGGAGCAGATACTTTTAAACGCTGAAAACTTTCGGATCGGCTTCAATTTGGGCAAGTTATGGCCGTTGGAAAACCCAAAAAAATTTTGACGAAAATTTTCGTACGCCTATAACTTGGTTAAATTGTAACCGATTTCTATGTTTTATACTATTAAAATTATCTTCATTAAATGGGCTTTCCAACGACATATGACATTTCGCAATCAAACGCTTGGTTTAATTTTTCGAAAAAAATCGGCCATTTTTCCAACGGCCATAACTTGGCCAAATTGAAACCAATCAGAAAGTTTTCAGCGTTTAAAAGTATCTGCTCCTGAAGGCCTTCGAAACTGCATTTAAACTTTTTAAATCGAACGGCTGGGGAAAAAGAATTGAATTTTTGGCCGTTTTTACCGAGGGCCATAAGCCGCCTATTGGCCGGCCAATTTTGATGTTCAAAATTGCCAATGTTATTCATTTTTCATGTACTTCCCATTGATATATTACATTTGAGATGAAAAGTTACTGGAAAAAATAAAACACAAATTTATAGGCGTACGCTCAATTTTGTCCATGACTGTATGTCTACAACATTTGATCAAACGATCATGCGAGTTTTGATGAATTTGTTTATCTATGTCGAAAGACGCAATCGCCAAAAATACTTATGTTATCTGAACAAGGCGGCGAATCATAAGTAGTAGATCATGATCATGAGTCATTGATCAGAAAAAGAAAATGCTGCATTATATTATTTTTTTTCAAATCACCTTTTTATGTATCGACTGAAGAGTAAGTACCTGAAACAGTTGATAAATGTCAATTAAAGTACTTTTCATTATTAATGGAATACGAAATAGTTACGTACAATTGTTGTTGAATGAGCGAGATCCAACGGTTTTTTGTTGTTGTTGTTGTTTATCCGAGGCACCAAAAATGCCTCTTCTCGACTCTATACGTTATATTCCTTGATTTTTTTCTGAAAACGGTATACATGAAAAACTACTTTTATATCTTCCATTTAAAAAAAACATGTTTGATATTAATCTCATCAATCGAGGATTATGACCCAATATGTGGAGAGGAAAAAATGTGAACGTTACAATATATTCTTTTGAATGGCATTTTAAGAGTCTTTAAGCTCTTTGCTATTTCAAGACATTAAGACAATTAATTATTCGCCATCTCGCACTCTCTTTTTCTCCCCATCTACTGAACAGTAGTGTGAACTACTCATTTTCTCTTTTAAACTAACTAAGGATTTCGTTAGTCGCTGAATAATAATTTCTAATAATGTATTGAATACTAACATTTCTCCGATCAAATTTTGAATTCACTATGATTTCACACAATGCCGTGGCCGTCATAGATAGACGCAGTATTTTTTTTTAAACTACTTTAAATTACACATATCATTCGCGTGTATCATCAACGAGGTCGACCTTAAATTCACTTTGCTTTTGTAATAAAAATTCTTATCAAAACAATTTTCTAATTCTAATCAATGCGTGCATGTAATGTGAAGGTGTTCGCAGGAACAAATAAATTTTGAACTATCGTCTTGTAAATATTCTTTGTTTTTTATTGACACTTTTATCGCCTTTTTTCAAACTTCTGTCGGTATATGATGATTGTAGATCGAAGACTACTTCAAAACTGGTGAAAATGACACGAAATGAATGACTAGAATAGAAATTATTAGCAACTCGTGCGCGTGCGAGTGAAATGTATTCGGTTGTGAGACAAAAATATTTTTTGTCTCGAAAACACACCGAATGATGTGAAAGCGTTGTATCCACTGTGAAACTTTTCGCCTGGCAAATGATGCTGCTAAATTAAGATGGCTATCACAATACTTTTGCACAATCTTCGTAATTTAAATTGTTAAAACGCTAAATAAATTCTTCGTTCAATGTTGTTCTCAATAGAAAATCCAGACATTCAGCGCAGGTTCAGATTTTAAATGTACAATATCCATTTTATCTTATTTGTTTCGACTGGTTTTCTCTTCTCATTTTGAGCGGATGTGTGTGTGTCTCCTTTTTTTCATTTTCTGTGTGGAAAAAGAAATAGAGACATACTATAAATAAGGAGAATTTGTTTTCCCAAATATAATTTCTGATCTCCATTCTAAAATATTGTCATGACAAATGAGGTCGCCGGTGTGTGCTATATAGGTCGTCATTGTTTTTCTGTAATGCGTGGAAATCATCTGACCGATGTAAGTCCAGTTGCATTTTATATTAAATGGATTCGAAATATTCTTTGCAATCAAAAATTCGTTCACGTTTCGATTTCTGCTTGTACTTATTCACTAGTAAATATTAGTCTACATTTCGGATATTGTCAAATCATTTCATTTGTTCATTATTTTCAAGTATTTAATTCAATTCATGATCGTGGTAAAGATTTATTAGGCGCCATTCGGGGATTTTCGTTGTGCCAAAAAGTAAAAGTTGCCAAGCATGTGTATGTCGGATTGGGGGAAAAGTTTGGGAGGAAAACTATGCATGCGTATATTGTATTATCTCATTTTATTTGATGGTTGACTTGCCCTAATGCGACGGGCATTAAGTCACATTTATATCTTTTATATCTAATCTCCATTGTGAAGTGTACAGTATCCTTAATATTGGTTGTGCATGCAACTATTGGTCTATGGTGTCGAATCGAAGAAGAATGAATTTAATTTTAGATTTGTAGCACTCGTGTGCGTTTGTATGATCGTAGTTGTGTGTGTATGTGTGTATGTTTGTGTCTGTGTGTGAGGTGTAAGGTGTGAGCAAGAATGAAAGTATCGCACATGATTTCTTTCATATATTGATGGTATGCGTAGCAGCTAGATGCGCGTTGTAGCCCCAGGCATTTTCGAAACGGCACTGACTCAAATAGCTAATTACATGTATGTGTTTCAAATCAAACATATTACACAATTTCCTTGTGCGCTTACAGTATGCGAATAGAAAAGAACTTGCTGCAATTTATCCACAAGAGTGTGTGTATGTACGACGTTACGCGCCGACTTTTATGTGTTTTTGTTTTATTCTTGCAATCGAATCACAAAAAATCGAATTAAACTTCATCATCAGTTTTCGACGAACTCTTGTTTGCTTTGACGGTTAAATTGGTAAAAAAAAGTTGTCCTTTGTATACGGTCTATCTCTTTTTCTTTATTATTGAGGAATAATAATAAGTCTTTTGATATTTCAACAATGAAATAAATCTTAATAAAGAAAGAAAGAAATATTGATAACGTTATCAGATGAAACCGAAATAAATAAACTTATATTGATTTGTGAATTTGTGCAATAACAATATACTGAATGAATAATATCACATAGGGGGAAATTGGTTAAGTGAAATGGAAACGAAAGGCAAATAATTTTTCTTATCGCCTGATCTTTTTTCGAATTTTTCCTGCTTTTTTTTCTCGCGAGGACTTGTCTTTTCGCTTTGAATTTAATTCAGTGTTGATGTGTATCGATTATGCCTGAGTGCAATTAGAGGATTACACTTCTAACAATGCATGAGATGGTTGAATGATGATTGTGAGTGCCCACACAAATTTCACGAATTTTCCTAGTTAGTTAGTCAAAATAAATATTTAACCGAATAATCAAGTGTGACAGATACCAACAAGTGACAATCGGCGCAAATAATGGTCTGAATGAACTGTATAACACTTAAACTATGTGTATGTATATTTGTTATGCTGAGTGCCTCCAATGTGGACTAAATTTGATTTGAATCTGTTTTCGACTGTTTTGGCATCACTAAAATTGCCTTCGAAATATTTGTGATACACATTTATCTCACAGCTAATTTATGAGTTGCTAACTGAGCTTCGTTGAGTTCTCTCTCTTTCTCCCTCTACCACTGTTTCTCTCTCTCTCTCATTCACACACTCACTCTCTCTCTCACTCTCTCTCTCACTCTCTCTCTCTCCCTTTCTCACTCTCGTACTTTAGCGCCTAAGAAAGCGGTGCAAAATTTGTTTTTCCTTGGTATTTTTGTAATGCAAATTAGCTTCGTCAAATGAAAGGAATGCTTTACAATGCGGAAACAAGTGTGATACAATGTTTATATTGTTGTAGGCTTTTCAAACATATTTTTTTTCTTAAATTTGTGCTCTACAAAAGAAATTATGAATCAATCAATTCAATACTATTTAAGCAATAATTATATTTGCTATGTATATCGTGGAAAAGGACGATTCTTATTTCATTGATAAAGAAGAAAAAACGAAAGAGAGAAAGCAACCGGATGTGTCATGCATTCATGAAACTGTTGCAAATTTAGCCTTGAAAATGTTATCTACCAAGCGGAACATATGAAAAAAATAACCACGTTAATTGGATTTTGAAACGTGAGAGTATACAATATACATAGCTGCCAATATATACATAGTATGGAAGAGTCATCACACATTTAATAACATTTCGTGCATTGAAGAATAGGCAGATTTATTCTTCCTGTATAATAATAGGAAGTAGGTTTGATGATGATTGTCAATGGTTCAACAGTATGTAGAACGGAACAAATTACCGCGTTACGTCGTAGGCAAAGTGTAATGGTTAATGCCACAAATAAGTGAAAGAGATTTGGGGGCGTTGCTTTCGCTAGTCAAATGATGGTCCAATTTGAATCCTTATGATCCAAAAATAGGGCAAAATAAAAGTGTCTGTATTAAATGCATATTTGAAAGAAAGACTTTTTTAGAACTCATTGCGCCTATATCGACGCCGAAGGAGACGGGTAAACTAAACCGTTGAGTAAAAATCGCAAACATTAACGAAGAAGCATTTAAAAGAAAATTTACTGTTGAATTTAGATTTTTTTCTACCTTCTTTTTGATTACAAAGGAATAATATATTTCTTATAGTTTCCGATATGCGGCGTGTCAATAAGCTTGTTTCCGATAAGCTGCTAATGTTTCCGATCACTTAATTGTCTCTTGAGGAAAATGAAGAAACTCGTAAGAAAAAGATACGAGATAGCAGCAATGTGAAGAAACATTATTTGTGTTATTTTCTTCACTTTATACTAGTTTTTTATATTTTTAAAGCAGTTATACAATCATAAGTTGTTTAATATTCATTTGATAGTGGTATTTTTGCCAATTTTCATATCAATCCAGTATTTTATATTATGTTCAATATTTTGTATTCAACATGTGTCAAAGAAATAGCAACAAATAGAATTAATATAGGAGAAAGTAGTGGACAAAACTAG